ATCATCTCGGCTCACTGCAACCTCTGCCTCCTGGGTTCAAGTGATTCTCCTGCCTCAGCCTCCTGAGTAGCTGGGATTAGAGGCGTGTGCCACCACTGTCTCTTATACACATCTAGATGTGTATAAGAGACAGCTGTTCTCACTGCCACCCTAAATATCTTGCTAATATACAAAAAAAAAAAAATTTTCACCAATAAAGCCGCCCATTTCATATGGAGAACCAGATTTAACATATAATACTTCTGAGAGAAGTATTTCTTGACTGATACGCTCAGAAATACATTTTACATCATAATCCAGTAGAAACACACACATACAACACATACACTTCTGTGAAAAGTTTCATAAACTCATACTCGATTTTAATATGGGTGACATGCCACTTTATTTTCTATGATGTTGTTTCCTATTCCATTAAAATATGTCGTGACCACGAAATTGATTTCTTAATGCAATAATAGTGTTATTAAAAATAATGAATTTCTTTTTTTTTTTTTTCTTTCTTGAGATGGACGGAGTCTTGCTCTGTCGCCCAGGCTGGAGTACAGTGGCGCGATCTCGGCTCACTGCAAGCTCTGCCTCCCGGAGTCACGCCATTCTCCTGCCTCAGCCTCCCGAGTAGCTGGGACTACAGGCGCCCGCCACCACGCCCGGTTAGTTTTTTGTATTTTTAGTAGAGACGGGGTTTCACCGTGTTAGTCAGGATGGTCTCGATCTCCCGAGCTCGTGATCCGCTGGCCTAAGCCTCCCAAAGTGCTGGGATTACAGGCATGAGCCACCACGCCTGGCCAAAAATAATGAATTTCTTAAGCCAATAATAATAATAATAGGGTTCAACTTAGTTCAGTAAGTTGGACAACACTACACTCCACCACACTGTAGGATTCGTTCATTCATTATACAAATCATTATGAAGTGCCTACTATGTGTATGTCCCTGGCCATATGCATGCCATGGCCTGAGGATAGGGACATGGTGGTCATCGCCTGGCATTTGCAGGCCTGTGTCGGAGGCTCGCATGCTTTCATCTTGCCTCTCCTTTGAGAAGCCAAGCCTGGCTTTCCCAGCTTCCTCTGTTAGCAGCTGCTCTGCTAGACTCAGCTCCTCTGAGATGCTAACAGGAAGAAGAAAAGGATCCCTTCCACCATAAGAGCTTACAAAACCTTCCGCTGAGGCTTAAGTCTGGCCTGAGCAAATATATTTGGTTACACTTTAGGGATTTGTTTTCACTCAACACTAAATTTTATTAAGATTCTAATAATGCAGTTAGATGACGTAGAGTTAGGAAAATATGTACTGTATGACTTTTACAATACCTTGCCAGGAATCTGGTGCATGATTCTGAAGACTCCAAATCTAGACATGTTTTATTCCTTATGAAAATTTTTCTAACTACATTCTAAAATGCACTTATGTTGCCATTTTATATATATGCATTAACTCAACTTTGCCAATTTTTTTTTTTTTTTTTTTTTTGAGATGGAGTTTTGCTCTTCTTTCCCAGGCTAGAGTACAATGGCATCATCTCGGCTCACTGCAACCTCTGCCTCCTGGGTTCAAGTGATTCTCCTGCCTCAGCCTCCTGAGTAGCTGGGATTAGAGGCGTGTGCCACCATGCCTGGCTAATTTTGTATTTTTAGTACAGATGGGGTTTCACTGTGTTGGTCAGGCTGGTCTCGAACTCCTGACTTCAGATGATCCACCCACCTTGGCCTCCCAATGTGCTGGGGTTACAGGCATGAGGCACCGCACCCAGCAAGTTTGCCAATTTTTAAAATCATGTGGTTAAATAAAATTCTCTTTCTTGTTAAATAGATTGCATTATCACTGCCAGTATTTTTCCTCTTCCAGACTCATCCTGCCATCATGACCTTTTGTTACGCTCACATATCACCAAACTAAGAGGAAGAGGCCAAAAGAACCGCTGGACACCAATTCATAGTTTTCCCACTCAGCAATGTGGATTTCTATGCAATCCTCAAATCAAGGGAAAGGAAAGAACCATTCCAAAATGTCCTTCCAATTCACAGGTGAACACCTCTAAGTCCACTTGGGAACCATTTTAGACCCTAAGCGTGGAAGACAGGGATTATTGGCATGACTATATACACAATGACAAAGGTAAACTTACCCATTCATTCTAGGGCTTAACGAAAATGCCACAGCTGCATGAATCGTGGTTCTGCAGTTGCTTATTGGGGATGGGATTGAAAGCATAACTTTAAGGGGGATCCCCAAGATGAGAGCCAAGAAGATGCTAAGCTATTTGAGCATGAGGTGCTTGTGAGATAGAGATCAAAGGATAGCCAGGCGCTCCTCCCTGGTTGGTGAGTGGAGGTGCCCGAGAGGGCACTCTTTGGTGTTGACTTATTGCGTCTCACCTTCTCCCTTCCTAAACTCAACCCTTGCCATTTCACTGTATCCCTCACACCATCACACTTGAAAGACCCTCCAAGCGCCAGTGGCCTTTGTTCCTAGCACAGAAATCATCACCTTAGACTGCTTACCTAGCATCTAAATAATTCCAATTCATATTTAACTAAAATTTCACTATTACTAAATTCAGTTATATTTGCAATGTAAATTTATTTTAGTTACAATAACCTAGAAGTAGTATAGTTATGATTATTATCTGTTTTAGTTTCCTGGAGCTACTACAGCCAAGTATCACAAACTAGGTGGCTTAAAAATAATAGAAATGTGGCCGGGCGTGGTGACTCACGCCTGTAATCCCAGCACTTTCGGAGGCCAAGGCGGGTGGATCACGAGGTCAGGAGTTCGATACCAGCCTGGACAACACAGTGAAACCCCTTGAAACGTCTCTACTAAAACTACAAAAATCAGCTGAGCATGATGGCGGACACCTGTAATCTCAGCTACTCGGGAGGCTGAGGCAGCAGAATCGCTTGAACCCGGGAGGCAGAGGTTGCAATGAGCTAAGATCATGCAACTGCACTCCAGCCTGGGTGACAGAACTAGACTCTGTCTAAAAATAAATAAATAATAGAAATGTATCCTCTCACCGTTCTGCTAGCCAGCAGTCTGAAATCAAGGTGTCAGTAGTACTATGCTTCCTCTGAAGCCTCTGAGGAAGAATCTTTCTTCCTGGTGGCTCCCACTAATCTTTGGTTTGTGGCCACATCACTCCAATATCTGCCTGTTTCCACATAGCATTCTTCCCTGTGTGTCTCTGCACCTCTTACCTTACAGAGAATCTGGAATCTGTGTTCAAATCTCCCTGTTCTTTCTCTTATAAGGATGCTAGTCACCAATTTAGAGTCTACTGTAAGTCTAGGATCATTTATTTCAGAATCCTAAACTAATCATATCTGCAAATACCCTATTTCCAAATAAGGTCACATTCTGAGGTTTTAGGTGGACACGCGTATTGGGGGTGCAAGGGGTGAGACCATA